ATTTTCAGAACTCATTTTGGGGTATGACCCTTAGTATACTGGAAAATAGCAAATCTAATGATTTCCTGGGGTTGTTTCTTCCTTCTGAAAGGTGTTTTTTCAATTTTTAATAAGAAACAAGTCAAAAGGTCAAAGATTTGGCGAATATTGTTAATACAAAATAAAACATTAACTTTCTGTTTATCCCTAAACCCCTTTACTCTTCAGGGCGTGCGGGTTTGGATGCTGTCATGAAGAAATTTAATGTAGTGGATTTCTGATTCTTTGTCCTTCCTCTAATAAACCTTTTGTGTTCTTTTTTTTTTTGCAAAAAAATTGCTTTCTAGACTCCTCCAGAATTTAAACTGTCTCCTCAAATACGAATTTGAACAACAATATTACTAATATTCAAGAAAATTGCATATAAATCTGTCCTTGTGCTCTTGCATACTTTTTGCTCTTATCAGACCTTCGCTGTTTTTCTCAAGTGCATCTTATGGTAAATTTTGTTTTGAGGGTTTTAAGCAATATACTAAAATTCCATTATCTGTTTGAATATCAAAAAAAAAAAAAAAAAAACCGGATAACTCCAATTACTAATTTTTTTAAATAATTGTTAAGACATTCATACACGCTGTCGTTTTCACTCGTTTTTCAAAATATAGGATCGATCTTTGAGTACTAAGCGTTTTTACCGTCAAACGTTTCTTAAAAACAGTGTAAACTACTCCCGATATGATTCCTATCAAATTTGCTATGTTTCTTAAAGTCAATCATACATCATCAAATATTATTTGTTGAAATTTGGGAAAGAGTACAGAAGTTGTTATAATTTTTGTTGGCAAGGACGGTACCCATTTTTGATGCCCATTATATAATATTTTATCAAAGAAATCAACCTGCTCATTTGTCTTTAAAACAGGCAGGTTGCTGTAAATTTTACATATTTCGGTGAATATTTCTTTGGGATTTTTAACAAGTTTTACAGCAGCTTTAATGAAGCTTTTATTTTCACTCTGGTTAACTAATTCTTTACCACTCATTTATAATGCAGTGTCTCGAATAGTCCTTGTTTCTCAGCTTCTCTAGATGAAACTATGTGATGCAAAGTGGTCACATAAACTTATGAAGTCATTAAAGATTCCATAATAAAATAAAGTCAAGTTTAATGTCATATGCTATCTGTATTGTATGTCATACAGGTCAGGACATTATTTATTGAACAGCCCTCGTATGAAGGACCGTCTGATAGCAAACAGTTTATACCTGCGTATTTAAATATTATTAAATACTATAGAGACTGATGATCAGAAGTTGAATTAAAATAATCTCCTTTATAAACCCAACTAAAATCCATCAAAAATGTGTGCTGCATGGTTCAGTCTGATGTACAGGCAAGGCCATCTTTATACCACCTCTTGCCTGCGGGTTATAAATGTTGGATCGGTAGGTACATGTATATGGGTAAAACTTTTTCCCTAGAATTTTTACATTGACAGAATGAGAAATTTATGGAATAAAAAGAAAAAAAAATGTTTCCTTGACCAGTCGGCAGGGGATGCTCACTCCTCCATGGCACCTGATCCCACCTCTGATGTTTCGGAGGTCCGTATTTGCTCTGCTCTTATTTTTTATATTGTTTAATAGACGTTGAGATTGAATACTGTTCATTATTTCCATATCCTTCTTCCTTGAGGTTATTAAAAAAGATTTGAGTCGAGCCATTTTCAGGCTGTCGGCCGGGAATGGGTAAACAGATGTTAAAGGATGGCCTTAAGCTTATTTTATGAAAAGTCAAAAATATGATACTGCAAACCTTTACCGAGAATGATTTATCCATATTTGTTATTTTAATGCATTATATACTAATGAAATCAAACCAAAAAAATTCTTGTAATGCATTAACTTTTGAAACATAAAAAAGCTTTTTTCAGTAGCTCCGGTAAAAAAAAGACATCCCGAGCATTTATAACATTGTGTGATACGGCCGTATCAGTCGACGTCGTGTGGTACAGTATCTAGGTATATATACTTATACAGTATAGAGATGTATGATTAGGCCCTATAAACTTGGTTGCAGTGTCGCAATACCGACAAAGCTTTGTTTACTTTTCATGGACTTGAAGAAAGCTTAAATATTTCTGTTGAGAGTAAGTAGAGAAGCTTAGTAAGTAAAAGTAGCATTTTCGGATTTTTAGTTTAAATTACCGTTTAATCTCTATCAACCGCCTCTGCCCCTATACACGCACCCTTAGGTCTTTTTAAATTTTAGGAAATAAGGGCCCCCTGTACAGTGATTAGAATCAACTAGAATTGTATCAAAAAATTAAAGCAAGAGAAAATGAAACTTGTCTAACATCCAATTTCTCAATGGAAAATTATTAATTTAGCATAATATGGGTGGATTATCTTCACTTTAAGTAAAGTAATACATTATTGTAGTGGTTCCTTTTATTTATTTTTTTTTTCAAAAGTTTTTTTGAAGTTAAAATAAGACATTTAATATTAGAAAGAGAATACCAAAATAACCGCCCCTTTTTCCAATTTTCTAAGCGCCAGGGGCGGTGAATAGGGATTATACGGTAATCACTGTTTGTTATCTTCACATTTTTCACTATCTATAACACAAATTTATAGGTATTTATCTTCTATCCCTAACACTCTTTGCTGCACTGATAATTATAACTGGGTCAATGTTATTAATAATGCAGATGACCAAGGCTTTTTTCTTAAAGTAAGTATCAATAAATTGTAGTGAAAGCACTGGAATTCGCAGAAAATATGGTCTGTTTTATTTTATCGGTGATCGTTGGTTTTGCATCGGAGTCTGTTGATTTTGCAAACGTGTCTGTTGATTTTGTATTTCAGTATTTTTTTAAAATAAGTTGTTAGTTCTACATTAACGTTTTTTTTTTTTTACCCTTTCCGCCGCCCATACCTTTTTGCTCTAAAAAGTATCAAATTTTGTGAATAAATAATCTAAGAATACTAAGCAATTAAATTTTGTCTGCTAGATAATTTTACATGACTAAAGCGCTGATTAAAAGTATTGTGTTGTATTGTTTAAAATAACTGTCGAATCAAGAAGTCTTTAATAACGTAAATCATCAAAATTCAACACATATTTAGATCCACGCATCTACATGCAATTATGACGTCTGGTTTGTACAAACTGAAAATAAGCTGAAAACAAAAGAAAAAAAACGATACGAAACATCTCAACTTTTTGCCCAACATAGAAAAACCTATTTCTTAATAGGGGTCCAAATGTATGTACCTTGTTTTTTCTTGAGTGTAATTCCTGTTCTTTGAATTTACATATCATTCTATTCAATAATTCTATCCGACAAAATATTATAAACTGTATAAGAAAATAAAGATAACCGATAATTATATATTTAATAATTGTTGAATAAGAATGATTGGCCTAAATATGCCTCGCAATTTTAAATAATTCCATGTTTGTCAATTTGATACAATTTTTTCCGAAAAAAAAAATTCTACAGAAATTGTGCATACTAGAAGTAAAATAAAAAAATGATAATAATAAATGTTTGACTATTTTCCTTTGTGAAAGATATTTTATTTTATATTATCCCCTACATGTGACCCATTGTAGCTTGTAAAAAGATAAAGATTTAAGGTTATTCCACCATCACAATTTTATAGGTTCATAGTACAAAACTGCTTTATTTTCATTTAATATACTTTAAACTTTACAATTTTTGCAAAAAAATGTATAGGTCACCATATTATTTAAGATGCGAAACATAAATAAATAGAAGTGTATGTCAACAAAAAAAATCGCACATTTTTTGCAAACAGTATTATGAAAAATATGTGAAAACTGGTTAAAATGTAAAATTCTGATGCTGAGTGTTCCTAAATACTTCCGACTTAAAAGATACTTTTGAATTGTGAAAATTAGGGAAACTATTTTACAATAAAGCAAATGCCGGAATGAAAAGACCTGAGAAGGAGTCACTGCCCTTGTCAACATTTTTTAAAGATTGAATAATTGATTAAATATAGAAAATATGCATTTATTCAATTCTTTAACTTAACAGTATTTATCATTACACCTATTGTAAAGTATTTTTACAAGAGATATTGTTCTATTAGATATGAATTTCAACTAATTAGAGTTTTTGCAAAAACCTATGACATCATAGGAGGGTGGAATTACTTTAATAGCATTTTTACAATAAGCTTCAAATCAAATCAACCATTTAAAACTTTACTTCTAGATCTTGATGTTCAGAACCGACATTGGCATTGTTTTGGGTGTTGGGCTGGCGATTGTTGTCCTATTTCTATGGATTATCTTGGGTATGTATGTGATTTGTATCTCTTCTTGAAAGAACTATTTTAAAGACAAGTTCTACCTGTATTCGGTTTTCAGCTGAAGATATTCGAAAATGTCGATTTCTAGACAAAATGCATACAATTTAGGATTGCTTGATTACTATGTTGTAATTACTAAAATGTATATATGTACTTTCAGTTCCTAGGATCACGAGATTCAAACCAGTGTATGTTAAATGCGACCAATTTCAAATGACAGTTGTTATTTTGGAAGTGAATGTTGATTCCATTATTCCTCTAAAGTGTATAAAACTTGAAAAGAATTTACATAAAGATTATTACATATCCATACCATATGCAGTTCCAAAAACAAAGAGGATTTTCCTGATAGATTCCGAATGTTACTATCAAAGATGCTTGAAATATAGAGTTGAGGTTCAAAATTATATATGGTCGGGGTTCAGTGAAGAAATTCATGTTGAATTATTTAAAGGTATGTTAAATTGTTTTTAGTGATTTAAGCGAGTTTTATTTTCGATTATACATGAAACATATGGAAATAACGAGAAGTATTATAGATCAAAAGTCCATATAACGATACAAAATAAGAGCAGAGCAAACACTGACCTCCAAACATCAGAGGTGGGATCAGGTGCCATGGAGGAGTTAGCATCCCTTGCCGACGGGTCACACCCGCCGTGTGCACCTTTATCTTGATCGGGAAATAACGGAAACATCCGTCGTTAATTCAGTGTATAAATAATAGACTTACAATTAGTATGAAAACCATCAGTCAGCATTTGACTCAATGATAAATTGTTATTTTAATGCTTTATGTTGAAGCTTTTTTCCATATCAAAACACATAGCAAACAAATCAATGATAAACTGTATTAAAAAAAAATGTCACATGATGTTTATGTCATCCTCGATAATGATAGTAAACAGTTTTTTTTTTCATCATCCACTTTTTTGTACGTTAGATATGCAAGCTTAAGTATGCTGAAAATAAAAAAAAAACGTTTAATTTTATACACATTTCGGTAAACACATGGCCTAGTCAAGCAACAATGGCAGTGTCCTGACAAGAGTCGCTAATTCCATTTGCATACTGAATATGCCTCAAAATAATTATAGATGTTAACCGGATTGTTTTAGAAAATTACTGAATGTTTCATTTAAAATTTAAAATTGTGTCTCTATACCATTTTCTACCACATTTCTTTTTTTTTAAATCCATTTTCCGAAAATCGATTCAAAAGAAAATCAGGCAAAAGTATGTACATCTTTTATTATCACCATTAGCCCATTTAAAAAGAGATTTTGCTCGAAAGCTAACTGCCAGAAATTAAGACAAGGTTACAAAGATAACGCTTTTGGGGACATTCCAAGCCATTCTACACCTTGCACATTTTTTAATATAATAATATAAATGATATATTTATTTACGATTTTCAAGTCGGATTGTAATAAAAAAAAATAAACAAATTTCACATTCAGTTTTTTTCTTATTATAATCATACAATGTATTTTACAGATCTTAACATTGATGACAGCTTTGACATAAAATCATTCTCTATTCCACTCTTGCCGTAAGTATTTTTGAACTTTTATCGCAAACAAAATGAAAATAACATTTTCCTACACAACCTTATAGAACAAATCGACTTTGTTTGGTTTGGTTTTGTTTTGCTTGTTTTTGTTTTTGTTTATTTTTTTAAATTTTATTAAAGTACAAATTTTCTTTCTTTAAGTGGAAGTTCGCTGGTGATTGAAAGACAACAAAATAGAGCAGCTAAAGTAAGTGGATTCAAGGAAATTGCGTAATAAATTCGAGATTATCTTTATTAAACTATTTTCAATTGAAAAAAAAATATTTACACCAGCAAATGCTACTAACTCACTTGTGAAGCCTTGAATCGTGTTTTTCGCTTTTTTCATTCAAGTTTTAAGTATTGATGTGTTTTTTCTGATTATACAACTATATATTCGTGTCTCAAATTTTATAAAGCGTTTTTAATACTTTCCAAAAATCAAGATTTGGTAATATACAAAGCAGTCAATTGTTAGTCAAGTATATGACATAAAAAAACAAACATAAAATACTATTCAATAAGAAATAAAAATTAGAAAATGTAACGTGCTATCTCTTAATAAGTAAAAATGTAATATGATTAAAGCCATTCACTTAAAGTGAGATCATTTAAAAAATATATTTGCTTCCCCTATCCTGACCGGTGTCGCATAATATTTGGTCCGCCTCGTTTAAAGGTCCGGCCGGACCTAATACGATATCATATTTGGTCCGCCTTTTATAAGAAAAGGTCCGGCCCGTATAAGAAAAGGTCCCCCTGCGTTTTAAGGTCCGGGTGGTGCAAAATGTTTTAATCTTGACTTTAACATATGAAATTAAGGCTACCGGGTAGTTTGTTTATACTATATGATGAAAGAAGTATTAACCCTGTTGTGTTTTATTTTTTGTACAACATACAAGTATCTCTAGACAAGAATCAACTCGTATAGTGTGCTTTAAGCAGTGCCGTTTAGGGCCATGATTTCTTTAAAAATCATGCCACAATTATTTTGCAAGTGTTTGTTTTTCTTTAGAATTTGCTTTTTGTAAATTAGTACGATTAAAGGTGTGAAATCTGTCGGTGTGTATAGCTAATAAAACAATGGGTGTGTGACGTATTTGTTTATCTGACAGGTACCTACCGTACCCACAGGTAGAGCCCGCGGCAGATGGCGCTGTCATTGATTGGTCAGTGAACCTAATGGTCATGTGTTAGCTTTACATATTAATAGATCTGATTTTTTTCATGATAAATTATGTCAAGGAACCAAATATTCAGGCGTACACTTCAAAACTGCGACATTTTTAATAATTATAACCATACATGTATAATCTTTATTTGAATATTTAAAGTTAAATATGGCGTATCTGAGCTAAAAATTAAAAATACAAGATTAAGCGTAGATTTACATGAGATTTGGTTTAATTTTATGTTCAAATTAAAAATTTCACCGATATTGAACTTAAATATCCCCACGTTTCTATTAGTTAAATTCAAACTAATTGAATTAAAACTGTGTCTGATATTTAAATTCCGAGTCGATAAGAATCGGCCATTGTTTTAAATCTCGGATATTTATGAAACGCGATTGATTTGAATTGTTTGATTTTCATAAAATGTTTCAGTCTGCATTCTATTTCGGATTTTTTTTGTGTGTGTTGAAATTTTTTACTTTTTATTTCCGACATTTTAAGTAAAGTGTTCATCTCCGACATTTTTCGGGAATTTGGTGCTTTCCGGTAATGAAAAATTTTAAAGAATAAATTATAGACTGTTTAGTAAATCAATGTACGGCGCAGTCTTTGACATTTAATTTAGTGAACATTAAATACGATGAAAAAATTGCATGCTCATTAAACTCTGTTAACTAGACTTAGTGCTTCATGTACAGATGTATATACAGCATGTATACAGAACTTTTATATTAAAAATGTTGTGTATAATAAATTCTTTGAAATTTCCATTTCTACATACATGTACCTGGTAAACATTAAATTGCCGGAGAGGTACCTTGCATTCCAGAAATGAAAAGAAATAAATGTCAGAAAAGAAAAGACAAATTGTCGGAAATGAAATAAAGAAATGGCGGAAATGCCATGTCGATTTCCGGAAATGAAATGCAGCGGTCCTATCTTTACAGTGGTATATAAAGACCGAAACAAATAGAAAAATCTTTTTTTTTATATTTTTAGTCTGAACATATAAAAAAAACGCCTTATATGACTCTAAAGTTTTTAAACGCAGTATAACATAAGGTCCGCCCTCTGTATTTCAGATACTAGTATCTTCATGTAAAGGGAAATTTTTGGACAGGGTTTATTTTCGTAGCTTTAAAACTAGAGAAATAGACAGGGCGAACCTTAAAACGCAGTTATCAGAAAAGGTCCGCCCTCTGTATTTCAGATATTTTTATATTATAAAGGGAAAATTTTAGGCAGGGTTTATTTTCGTAGCTTGAAAACTAGAGAAAGGAACAGGGCGGACCTTAAAACGCAGTTATCAGAAAAGGTCCGCCCTCTGTATTTCATATATCTTAATGTCATAAAGTGAAATTTTTGTACAGGGTTTATTTTCGTAGCTTGAAAACTAGAGAAAGGAACAGGGCGGACCTTAAAACGCGGTTATCAGAAAAGGCCCGCCCTCTGTATTTCAGATATATTCATGTCAGAAGAGAAATTTTTGAACAGGGTTTATTTTCGTAGCTTAAAAAACTAGAGAAAGGGACAGGGTGGACCTTAAAACGCAGTTATCAGAAAAGGTCCACCCTCTGTATTTCAGATATTTTTATGTTATAAAGGGGAATTTTTGGACAGGGTTTATTTTCGTAACTTGAAAAATAGAGATTAGAACTTTTTTAGTGTGCTGTATTTAGGACTTCCTTAATTAATATTTTAAGTACCAGCCTAATAGTATGCAAATTTCCTGCTTTCACACGAGTTTTATAAATGTATTATACGTCTTTTGCCATTCACACAAGTTTGTACAAAGTTAGGCTCATAGTAAACGAAAATTTTGAAATGAATGACAGTTCTCGATTTACTATTAATAGAAGATCACAAAAGTCGGCTGACCCCTACCACATTGTATGGTTTTGTTCTTTATATTTCGTGAATTTCAGCGTAAAAAATTGTTGAATGGTATGGTTTAGATATCAATTAATGATTGATCAATTAATGATTTGATATGAAGAGTTTGCTAACTTTTTTTTGTTTATTTTTTCACATTTTACCAGGGCCCATAAGTGCTTTCGTTCTTTGAATTTAAACATATTTTATTGATATAATCAATTGGATCAGACACAAGTTTTTCCAACTTAGAATGTCCTCTCCAACACAAACAAAGAAAAACAAATTTATATACACGTGATGAACAACAAATAAATCTACAATGCAAAAAAAAAAAGGAAGAAAAGGGTGCAGAGAGATAAGAAAGGTAGGGAATAGGAGTGCAAGGAAAGATGAAAGAAGGATGGAGATGTAAAGGATACAGAATGGTTACGCTTACTGTTCAAAAAATCTTTTCGAAATTTTAATATACTTATGTACGGCTTTGACAATATTGATATTATTTTGTTGACCCAAGTTTGGGTCCCCAAAAAGAATTTTATCAAGGTCTATTTCTCCTTTGTTATTTTTAATAGTATGGAATAATTCTCTTCTTATTTCAGTATAATTTTTACAATAGAGGATGAAATGCTCAGTGTTCTTTTCTGAAATTGTGTCTCTTTAAACTCAAGCTCTTTATATGTAGAATATAGGTATACTTTAAAACTTTAAACTTTTTTGACAGGTATCTGCGTGATTTTACTACACTCCATTAACCCCCCCCCCCCCCCAAAAAAAAAAAAAACATTTAGGAGGGGGTATAAAATGTTCGGATTTTTATTGAAACCGAAACCGAGAGACATAAGTATAAATAATATATCATAAATGTAGTGCACAGAGAGTTTATATGAGCGACATGCATATTAAATATGAAAAATAAAGGCATAAATTATAAATCCAGCAATTTATCGAGTCTTAATTTGGTTTGATTTCGCCAATTAATGCACATTTACCTTTTTCCCGGAGTAATACTTAGTAGGCCGCATTTCATTTCCGGAATTTTCTGAACATTTCATTTCCGACATTCCGAAGTTTTTACAAGTTTTAAAAGTTTTCATCTCCGACATTTGTCAAATTCATGTCAGTACTTTTTCGTACATGAAAAAAGAATTCATGCATCCGTTATAAAAATCCTTAAGGTAAAATATTTTAGATAACTTATTCAAATAAAAGACTTTGCTCTTGTCAAAGAAACTTGATTGATTTTACCCTGGGACAGATGTAGGTACATGTATTGTGAATGTGAAGTTTCATTTAACTGATTCCTTTACTTATTAACTAGTCTTAATATTGTTTACTTCTACTACTACTACTACTAGAAGTAAACAATATTAAATGTTAAACTTAATTGCCGTAAAGGTATCCTAAAAAAAAATCCAAAAATTTGAGAGAAAAAAAGAAAGAAATAATGTCGAAAATGAAAATAAAATTGTCGGATTCCGAAATAATAACAAAAATTGTCGGCAATGTTAAATTCAGGAAATGAAATTCAGAGATCTAGTAGATATAATAATTAGCCTTTGAATAGGTATTATTATTATTTATTAGATATTTCACAGTCAAGTTCTTCGAAAACGGCTGTATCGTCGTCACTCGGAATATCTCTGACGCTGGCATTAACGTTTGAAAGGTAAGAAACAGTGTTAACTTATAAAAACACAGGGGATATGGTACTTTAGGGTTTCTCAAACGCAACAATTATAGGCTAACCCCCAACTGCCCAATCCGTAGGCATGTTGTTTTTACAATAAGGGGTGTTGGATAGTAATCCGTGACATAAGCCCCTGTCACAGCTAGTGACCCTCCAGTTATTTACAACAACATTAAATGTAAAGAATGACAGATTTCTTTTATCAATACTATAAAGAAATATATTTTGAAAGATGTGAACTTCAGTTTTTGTGAGTGGATTAGTCAAACGTTTATCATGTTTATAGGAAAGAGAGTGTAACTAATTGATTCGTGTTGGACTTACGAACATTTATCTGTTCATTCAATGCTGATTAATCTGCCAGTAAACAAGGCGGTGAAGGTAAATGTATGTACATTTGTATTCTTAATATTTTTAATGATAATGTTGACATTAGTGTAATAATTTAAACGACAAGAGAAGCATGTCCCATCTTCCCGACAGGAAACCCGATCAATAAATCTATACATTCCTTTATTTATATATTAATTTCGATTTCTTACTTATTGTTTACTACATTCTCTTGGAGGAAACACTATAGCTATTAATACGACTTTATATCCTTAATTTATTTTAAAAGAATAGTTTTTCAATTAAAATCGAATGAACATATGCATACAATTTGTATAAAAGGCCGAGGGCGGACCTTTTCTTATAAAGCCAGGCCGGACTTAATATGTTATCGTATTAGGTCCGGCCGGACCTTTAAACGAGGCGGACCAAATATTATGCGACACCGGCCGGCTAAAATGTCCCTACTCGATATTTTTTTATGTATTTTGGAAATATATTTGAATAATTAAATATTGAAACAGAAATAAAACCTTTCCTACCGATCGAACTGTTTTATTCTATATTTTTTCATCCTGAGTCAGGAGGGGGCAAAAACAATATTTTAATGTTGGCCTAGGCCTCATCTGTTTAATTATTCCCTTTAAAATGTTCGCATAATTTTTAATGCAGGACAGGGATTATGTGAATGAATTTCAAGAAGAACTGTATGTTAATACCAGAAAACGCAACCAGCCAAGAAAACTGTTACAACCACTACAATCCAGGCAATTTGGTAACTGAATTACTGGGCAGTTGGGAGTGGCAAATACTACAGTTTGAAACATATAACGAACAGTATATATTAAAGGTCAAAAGTCAATAAATCGATACAAAATAGGAGCAGAGTAAACACGACCCCCCCCCAAAAAAAAAAAAAAATCGGAGGTGGGATCAGGTGCCATGGAGGAGTGAGCATCCCCTACTGACCGGTCACGCCAGCTTTGTGCTCTTTGTCACGATCGGGAAACAATGGAAAAATCTGTCGTCAATTCAGTGCAATAATAATAGACTTACAATAAGTATGAAAAACATTAGTCAACATGTGACTCAATGATAAATTGTATCTGCTTACAAGGTCATTGTACCGACTATAGAACAAACGAAATGATGACTTTAAACGAGACTGCTTAAATTCTTGTTAAATCATCTTAGTCAATAATTTACCTCGTTTTAGAAATTTTTCGTACGTAGAAACAACAAAGATATAAAGTTAATGAAAAGTTGACAATAAAAAAAATAAAAGTTATCACGTTTATCATAGAGCTTGGTTGTTAAATTAACATTATCATACCTCCATTGATAATAGTCGAATTTGATTGGCTGGTACGAAAACTTTAAAACACAACAATGACTCCAAATATTACTGTTTACAGCAATAATGACCTAGGAATCATTGCACATGGGATATAATGACCCTGGTAATTATAATTAATAAACGCTTAATAATGACCTCTTAATCAAAAAAATCCTCTTTGAGTGAAGTTAATGCATAAAATGATAATTATTCGAGAAAAATAACATGTTTTTAAAGGTGTGCATGGTCTGTTTTGCATTACCATACAGAATACGGTAAAATTATATCCTTAATTAAACGGTTTACTCATTTCGAAATACCGTTACAATTCAGTTCAATTGAATGTAGAAGCGGCTCTTTAAAAAGTTGAATTCTGTGTTAGATTTTGACTGTGTGGAGGAAACGTAATCGTTAGTTATGACAAGACATGTCGCTATCAACCATATATTGTTTTATTCAGTAAACCATGGTGCAAAAACTTACACGACTTGCAGACGTCAGTGTAAACAACTTCACTATACGCAGTATTGCGAATCCCGATTCCGTTAAAAGAAAGAATAGATAACAGTTATAGATTCATACTTTTCAATATATATCGGTATAATAAAACAATTCATTACCCTATTTGAGTTCAACAAGGTGAAATAAGGACCCTCGACCTGGCCCAGTCGATGACCTGCGCTGACGAGAACAGGACAGGTCACTTCGTGGGCTAGGCCTCGGGATCTTATTCCACCATGTTGACCTCAAAAGGGGTAATTAATTGTATATTAATGTCTTTTTCAAGTAAAATACGAAATAGATGTGTCAGGCACATACAGAACAGATGTGTCAGACCCTGTGGTGTCTTTAATCTCGATTTAATCAGTGTATATCGTATCGACATAAGAATGAAAATCACCATTGTTAATTGATAGTACGTCATCGATATATCTTAATGTCGAGCTGAAAGCCATAGCAAGTGTTTTCTTCTTTTAACGCATGCGATTTTGCATAAATTCTGCTTCGTGTATAGAATAGTGTATAGAATATGAATTTATCTTGTAGCATTGAAGCTTCACAGGGATAAGGAATGTAGAGAATATTGCTAAAACGATGAGCGTATTCGTGATTTACTTCAAAAGTGCAAGGGCAAAGGCTATTTTTTTTAGCTGAAATTTGAAATATTTAGTGCTTATATTTTGAAAAGTGCTGGGAGCTGATCCGGGTCTGCATAACATTAATTCTATTTATTACAGAATTTAATTGAAGTGGAAATTTTTAGCTATTATAAACATTTTCGGCAACATTTTAAGTACTTTGCAAACAGCACTGACTAGCTCCCAGCGTTTTTTGGGTAGAGGAAATAAACCTCTTAAATGTGTAGCAATTTTTTTTCTTGAAAAACAAGCGTATGCCCTTGCATTATCCCCATTTCCTACATTCACCTTAACAATTCTATTTTTATACAAGTCACGTGACAAACAGCTGATACGTGCGATATAACTGGTAATAACTACGGCCCAGTCCTATCCATTATTGATAGCAATATTACATTTTCTACAAGTATTTAGTTGCTTTGTTACAATTTTTTGAAAGAAGTAATGCATATTAAAACGGTGCAAAGGTCAAATTTTCCATATCGGTCTTAACTTAGCTGAGAAGCCTGCTAGTAGTGAGGTGCAATTGGTACCCATGGTAATTCAAATAGATTGTTGGAAGACCTGGTCTCAAAAAACGACATATATATTGTCAATCAGAAACTCAACAATCTTTTTGATGTCTACTTCAGAGTTCTTGTGTATACAATCAGAATGTTTTAGCAAATTTATTTTGTTACAATTAGAATGTTTTAACAAAATAATTTTGCAAATGACCAATGACAAGGTAAGTAAATCTACGAGCTCCACTTTTATTGAAAACGCAGCTGTCAATGATATAAAAAATGGGGACTTTAATTTAACACGGTGAATGGTTGTGTATAAAGTTGAAAAGTTGTAAGTTTTAAGCTGTTAATTTTGGTGAAATTCAAAAGTTCCTTGGAATTTTTAAATATCCACATCTGATTTGATTTGCACCACTTCTTGAATATATTGTTGCACAGAACTTTTAAAGTTTCTCCTTCACTGCTGTTATCATCGTAGCGCGGAGTAAAGAAAGAGGCTTGGTTGATCATTTACTGGAACCCGCTATGTGTCTTTGTAAGGATTCTGATGAAGTGTCCGATTCCAATATATGTATATGTATATAGATATATGTTAGTTCAAATTCATTTTGGGTCTTTGGGATATTTAAAATATTAAAAAATTACATGATTTTGAAGAATTTCTTCCTTAGATAGGGAACTGTGAGTATAGGTTGGACTACTAATTGTAGAATTAAATCCAAGTTCTTCTAAAGTACAATTTATTACCAATTCTACCTAAACATCAAAATGACGTGGCCACGCGTTATCTTAGATTCAGCTAATTTTTCTTTCTTTCTGAAACTTCAATGAATGAAAAGATTGACTATATGAAAGAAAGCATGGTAGTTTACCCGGTTGCCATGGAAACGGGGCTAGAAGGTGTAAATTATAGTGGATTTTGCTATTCATCAATAATATCAAAAAAAAAATTACTAGGCAAAGCTGTTAACGTGCATATTTTATTATATGCTTCACGACAATTAAAACTATGTAAAAAATAGTATATGTCACAAAGTTTTTACAATTTCTAATTTTCTGATGCCAAAAAAGTGAATAAATAGTCCTCGTTACCTCCCTTGTTAGACTTAATATTTAAAAACTTTGACAAGTGATGTGAAAATCCTAGTAGGGAGATTTAGATTCAAGATATGTTATTTTGCAAATATCAATTAAAATATTTTTGGGTAAATGAAAAATAAACATTTTATTACACCATAAAGTTGGTCTAAATGTGCTTTTTCTCTATCCGAGTTATTTCCCTTGTTGGAGCTCTTCGGCATTGAAGAAAATCTGCATTTTTTCTTCTTTTTTTAAAACATCTTGTTCAGGAAAATTCTACCTCAAGAGACTCAGAATTTGATAAAAAAAAAAAACAGTTAACAAAGTAGGGATAATCTCTAAGGAAAGCCAAAGGGTTGATCTGGACATGATGAGTAATACACGTAAAGCTACTCGTAGAAAGGAAAATATGAGGAACTCAGGGTGGTATGGGGCGAAGGCCGAGAGGATTTTAACTATTCCCTTCAAGATGCCTTTGAAATAGAGATCGAGAGATACATGTAGTGGTGTAGTAGTCCCCGACCGATCCCTATTGCAATGTGTAAGTATTTTTATATATAATTCTATTCAGGTGTCACATGTACCTGGTAACCGACTGTATATTGAAATATAAGACAATAAAAAACAAACAAAACCATGAAAACTTGCATGCACAGTTGCACATATTACATGTACATGACACTGAATCATATACTACTGTGAAATATGTATGTGCCTGTTTTGGGTACCATTATTTTATTTTCTATAAAATTCAGTATATTTCAAGAAAATTGTTTGTATAAATTTATTTTTCCAAGTGATAATATGTTTGTGTCCATTCTATTTTAACAAACAGCATTTGTAGAAATCATACCACAGAAATATTAAATCTTTGACTTTTGACAATGATAACTGAATAGTGGGTTAGATTTTTTGAAATTTTAAGCAATATCAGGACCTGGAGAATACTTCAAAGTATTGATCAAATAAGTGTAAGTGTACAATTATGAAAATTAACACAATACATGCAGACACACAGATCTACAGTTGCTAATAGTGTTCTAGATCTAAGTTCATATACTTTGTCATACTATATGAAATCATTTTTGGGACCTTGATACAATGAAGTTATTTGCTCTGCAAGGTAATGTATTGTAAAGTGGGTAAAGAAATCTATCCAAGGGTGTTAGAATGTGACAACTCCATTTGTACTTGGAGTTCTTATAAATTAGTTAATTGTCATTAAGCACTCTTTATTGACTTTTCTAAGATGCAGCTTTCTGTCTCATAATTTCATGCAGATCACTGTTTTTCAGCTATATATTGCAGGCATATCAATCTTGCACACATTTATGAATAGTTTTAGTTTTACAGTAGTGATCTGTACAGATGAGATGTATCTGATACTGTGTATACTTTACATGTCAAGGACATATTATACAAATCAAAAATAGTCACAATAAAGAACAAAATAAATTGTACCACATTACATGTAGTATCCATAAAATATGTATGTTTTATTACAATCAATTCATGATATAATAACATTTCATTTACCACTTAAAAAATTAATTGTTGTCAAATTCATTTCTACTCTATATCTCTGGCAATTTGTCCAAACTGCAGATAAGCTTTAACTATGTGTAAATTGAAAAAAAATGCTTGATTACAACAGGTACATATATATATATATATATATATATATATATATATATATATATATATATATATATAT